GGTCTCCACCAGGATCTCCACCACGTGGTCCAGCTCGCCCAGGTCAGGCTTGCAGCTGGGGCCGGGGGGCGGGGGGCCCGGGGCCAGGCCCTCGAGCCCGTCGCGGTGGCCGGCCCTGCCGCCCCTGGCGCCCACGTCCGAGAACAGCTCCTCCACGCCGCCGGGGCCCCTGCCCTCCAGAGTCTCCAGCACCTGCTCCAGCGACCTCTGGAAGCCCCTGTGCCCCGGGGGGCTGCTCGCCGAGTCCCTGGGCGGCTCGGGGCTGGCGCGGCACAGGATCTCCGTGGAGACCAGGTGGTCCAGCGGGGCCCGCCCCGTGCATGGGGGCGCAGGCCCGTGCCACGCGCCGTCCCGGCTCATCTCCTCCTGAATCTGCCGCACGGTGTTGGCGATGAGGACCGAGCGGCACAGGTTGGGCTCCACCAGCATGTGGCAGAGCTGCAGCTTGACCAGGGACATGTCCAGCAGCGACTGCCGCTGCAGGCTGTAGGAGGGGACGGCCCTGAAGCCGGCCAGGGCGCCTTCCACGGCCTCCTCAGGGTCCACGCATTTCCTCTTCAGGCCTCGTGCAAACATGGCGCCCTACAGGGAAACCGACAAGACGCCGTGAGCACAGCGGGCAGGGGAGGCCACAGCGGGCAAAGCTCAGCACAGCAGCCCTCCGCGAGCGCACCCTCAACAGCTGGGCTGAAAACGCACACCACAAGTCCAAGCGTGGGAGCCCTCGCGGTGGAGTGAGGTGCACGCCCGCCCGCCACGAGCCGGCAGGAACACGGGCGCGGGACGGGGCAGGGGTCGGCATCCAGTCGCGCCGACTTGCTGAAACCCACTGCCTGCGGAGGTCCCGGCTGCTGGGTCCACTCGGCATCCTCAGGGTGGTCCAGGGTCAGGCAGCTGCCCACCCACAGGCCCTGCCAGGCCCAATTCTGTGTCACCCCTCGGGCCCAGTTCTGGGCACAGGCAGGGCCGCGGAGCCCCGGGGGAGCAGGAGCATGAGGGCGGTCCCTCCTCAGAGGTGTGCAGGGCAGAACCGGCGCCACCAACACCCCTCTCAGGAGCCCCCGAGGGTGCACCCGACAACAGAGGTCCCATCCTCCCAAGCACCCTGCACACTTCAACACTCATCACAGGAAGTGGCCAGGTGGAGGGCCCGGAGCATTCCCTGTGGGAGGGGCCATGCTCAGGGGGCGGAGCCACACCCTAGAGGAAAGCTGTGGCCTCTAGGGGAGGGGCTCGAGCTGCCGCTGGTCCAGGAGTTCCAGCACCCGTCTGACGCCGGTGCAGCCGCCAGGACGCAGGCCAAACCGCGACCTCACCAGATGTGGGCTCTGGGTACAAGAGCCAGGACGGCCCAGCACTCCGCAGCTGCCTGTGTGTCCACACACGTCACAGCACAACGGTGGGAGTGTGGGACCACGGCCTACTCCCCCGGGACAGCAGGCAGGCGCTCCCCCCACCACGGCACCTGCTCACGGCCGCTCCCCCACTGTCTCGAAACGGAAGCCATCAACACCGAAACACACAAGGAGATCAGTGGCCAAGAGGCCACACCCTAACGGGGCCCTGGGTTCGAGTCTCAGCTCTGTGTGCAGTCCAGCTTCCTGCTGCTGCGGCCTCCCTGCCTCGCCAGCAGAAAGTGGAGACCCAGTCACCCCTGCTGCCCCGAACACAACCCCACGTCCAGAGTCCTGGCTCGGGCCACAGCCTGCAGGGCCGGCACGTCGGGGAAGGGTCCGGCTGCTCCACTCCTGACCCAGCTCCCTGCTAACGGCCTGGGACAGCAGCAGAGGACGGCCCGGCCCTGGCTGTCGCAGCCATCTGGATGCTAGACCTCCCTCCCTCCCTCCCACTCTGCCTCCAAATAAATAAATAAACCTACAAGTCAATGGCTTAAAACCGCCAAGTACGGCGAGCATCGGAGGCCCCGGGCTGGGTTCCCTGTGCTGACCCCCCCACCGGAGCTAAAACGCCGACTCGGCACGGCCAAACCCCTGTACCGCAGGCCGTCTGTCCGGTGGGGGCCGCTCGCCAGAGGAAAGAGAACACAACCGAGGCCCGGCAGGGGCGCGCTGGGCGCACTGGGCACCTGACCCCCGCCACAGCCTGCTTCCCACGGGCCTGGGGCCAGACGCAGCCTCCTGGGAACCAGGCGCCGCTCACCGCACCGGGAGGCACAGGCGCACACACACACGCAGGCACACGCCCCCCGCACACAGGCACAGGTCCCTCATACACACACAGGCCCCTGCACACACACACACACGCAGGCACACGTCCCCCCCCACAGGCACAGGTCCCTCTCACACACACGCAGGCACACGTCCCTCACACACACACACATGTCCCTCACACACATGCACAGACACACATCTCTTGCACACACAGTCCCCCCGCACGCACACACACACACGCAGGCACACGTCCCTCATATACACACAGACACACACACAGAGGCACACGCCCTCCCCCACAGGCACACGTCCCTCTCTCTCTCTCTCTCACACACACACACACACACACACACGCAGGCACATGCCCCCCCACAGTCCCCCCGCACGCACACACACACACAGGTCCCTCTCACACACACGCAGGCACACGTCCCTCACACACACACACATCCCTCACACACATGCACAGACACACATCTCTTGCACACACAGGTCCCCTGCACTCACACACACGCACACGTCCCTCACACAAACACACGCCCCCCGCACACACGCAGCTCCCCGGCACACGCACAGGTCCCACGCAGGCACACGTCCCTCACATACACGCACACACAGGCACACGCGCAGAGGACGGAGCTCTGGACAGGGCCGCGGCTGCCCCAGGCGGACCTGCTGGCCGCGACCACCCAGTGACTTCCGGAAACCCCGGCCCGGCGGCCGGCACTGGACGAACTCCCAGCTTCGGGCCTTTGTCCCAGGCCCGGCGCCCAGCACACGGAGGGGCCTCTCCGCCCGCGCCCCCAGCTCCCGGGCCGCCCGCGGCCAAGCTCACCGTCCCCGCCGGCAGCTCCATGCTGGCCCCGCGTCCACGCCGCCCCGCTCTCCTCCCTGCCCGGCTGTCCTGCGGAGAAAGGACATTTTTAGGAACTCGAGGCAAAGGCTGCCCCCAGCTCCACCCCGCCCCCCGTCCTGCAGCGCCCCCGCAGGTGCGGGCCGACCCCGGACACCGACCCCCAACCCCACCTGCAAAGAGCGAGCCCGGGGCCGCACCGGTCCGCCGCGCCCCGCAGAGCGAGGCCCACCTCTCCCTGAGCGCGGACGAAGCGCCGCGGCCCGCGGGGACAGCGCCCTCCCGCACCCGGCCAGGGCCCCGCAGGACGCCCGGCTCACCGGCCCGACACGCGCCGAGGACCCACGGGCGGAAGCCGGCCGCCGAGAAGCCGCGGCCCCAAGCCGGCCGGGCCGCCCCGCCCAGCACGTGACCCCGGCCCGACGCCGCCGGCCCTTCCGGGGACAAAGGCCCGCGCCCCCGGCGCCCGCCCGCCCGCCCGCGCCGGCCGGGCCTCCCCGCTCGAAGCCGGGCGGCCTGGCCGCGCCCTCCCGCAGCGCCCGCGCCGGCTGCACCCGGCCGCCCCCCCAGCCCGCTCCGGACGCTCACCTGCGCGGGGACCGAGCCCGCGCCGCCACCGCCGCGTCCCGCCGACGAGGGAGGGCCCGGCCGGCGCGGGGCGGGGCGGGGCGCGGCGCGGCGCCACTCAGCGCCCACAAAGGGTCGCCATGGCGGCCGCCGCGCGCCGCCCTCGCCGATTGGCCGAGCACGGGGGCGGAGCCTCGGGTTCAAACCTGCTTGGGGCGGGGCCAGGCTGCGCCCGTTCCCGCGCGGCGGCGGCGGCCGTTGGGCGCCTCACGTGCCCTCGGCGGCCCCGCCCCTCCCGCCAGATGCCGTGAGCGGCTCCCAGGATTCCTCGGGCCCGGCCCCGCCCCCAGGCTCCCAGAGGGCGGGGTCCTCGCGCCTGGCCACGCCCCTGACTCCCAAGTCTCCTCGCGCGCGTCCCTGAGTGCGCCTGCGCTGGGGATTTCCAGGGGGCGGGCGGGGCTGTGAGGCTTCCGCGTCCGTGCCCTGCAGGTGCAGCTCCCGGGGCGCCCCCGCCCGGGCTGGTCCTTCGGCGATGCCCAAGGGCTCGGGCCCTCGGGCCTGGGAGCCAAATGCATGACCTGGGGGCCGGGGCGCGGCGGCTGGCGGCGGCCTCGGGCCCGCGGCTTCCGCGCCCCGTGCGTGTGGGCCTGGGTCGCCCACCCCCGGCTCCGGGAGGCGAAGCGGCGCCGTGCACCTGGGCGGCCGCTCCGCTGGAGCTGGGACAGTCGGGGCGTGGGGGGCGGCCTCCTCCGGGCCGCGCAGCCGGGCTCTGGGCCTCTGGGTCCTGTCCCCGGTGTCGGGGCCGCATGGGTACCGGGGCGCCGAGGGCGTGGGCCCGCCCCGCCGTCTCCCGTGATCCCGCTCTCCGGGGCGCCGTCCGCATCTCCCCACATTCTCTCTTCGCGACCCCGGCACCCACGGCAGAGCGCCTGGAAAGCAGCCGAGGAAGCCCCAGGAGCGGGGCCGCCGCCGCGCCGGAGACCCGCAAGAGGCGCCTGGCTCGGCCCGGCCGCTGTGGCCTTCTTGAACCAGCGGATGGGAGGCCTGCCTCTCCGAATTACAAATAGATAAAAACTTATAAGATTTTATGTATTTGAGAGGTAGAGTTACAGACGGTGAGAGGGAGAGACAGAGAAAGGTCCTCCATCCACTGGTTCACTCCCCAGATGGCCGCAACGGCTGGAGCTGGGCCGATCCGAGGCCAGGAGCCAGGAGCTTCCCTGGGCCTCCCACGCGGGTGCAGGGGCCCAAGGACTTGGGTCATCTTCCACTGCTCTCTCAGGCCACAGCAGAGAGCCGGATTGGAAGAGGAGCAGCTGGGACTCGAACCGGCGCCCATATGGGATGCCGGCGCCGCATTTGGAGGATTAACCTACTGCGCCAGGCGCCCGCCCCCAAATAATAAAATTTCAAAAAATACGGCGCCTGGCCCACCTGCTGACCTGACTCTGGCTTGGCGGTGCTGCCCCCTGGTGGCCGCGCGGTGGTGCTTGCGTGACAGCGGAGCGGAGGGCACCTCGTGGGCTCCATCCGGGGAAAGGCCTGGTGCTAGTGGACTGGGCAGGGCGGAGGGACGGCGGGGAGCCCGCGTCAGCGTCCAGCTGGCTTCCCAGCTCCCGCGCTGCTGACGTGAGGTCCCTCTCTCCAGGTCTAACGCAGAGCCCCTGCTCCCAAATCAGGACAAGGGGGCGGGAACTTGCGCAAAGCCAGCCGGCCCTGGGGCGTCTGGACAGCACGACCCCGGGAGCAGGGCAGGCCTGGGAAGCGCCCACTCCACACACAAGGCCGTCATTGCAGGCTGTGCCAAGTGTGGCTCCCGGGCCCTGGGCTGGCCTCGCGTGGCCAAGGGGACGTGGCCTCCTGGGGCTGTGTCCCGAGGGCAGCTCCAGGCTACCGAGTCCACCTGTGTGCCCAGCCCTAGCAGTGCAGAGGGGCAGGGCGGGGCTGGTGTTCAGGGCCCCCAGGTGGGGGTGACTCAGTGTGGCCACTCTGAGGGCTGCCCTGGGCTGAGCAGACTCTGAGGGAGTCTGCAGGGAGTGCAGTGCCTGAAGGGCCCGGGGCTCCTGGATGCCCACCCGGGGCTGTGGTGACCGCACAGAGCGCGGTGAACCGAGGGGGAGGCGGGGTGCGGCCTGTGCGAGCCTGGCCCTGTGGCCCTGGGCTGACCTGGGGAAGCCTGGCCCCGTGGCCCTGGGCTGACCTGGGGGAGCCGTGGGCCCCGTGGCCCTGGGCTGACCTGGGGGAGCCTGGCCCCGTGGCCCTGGGCTGACCTGGGGGAGCCTGGCCCCGTGGCCCTGGGCTGACCTGGGGGAGCCGTGGGCCCCGTGGCCCTGGGCTGACCTGGGGGAGCCTGGCCCCGTGGCCCTGGGCTGACCTGGGGGAGCCGTGGGCCCCGTGGCCCTGGGCTGACCTGGGGGAGCCGTGGGCCCCGTGGCCCTGGGCTGACCTGGGGGAGCCTGGCCCCGTGGCCCTGGGCTGACCTGGGGGAGCCGTGGGCCCCGTGGCCCTGGGCTGACCTGGGGGAGCCTGGCCCCGTGGCCCTGGGCTGACCTGGGGGAGCCGTGGGCCCCGTGGCCCTGGGCTGACCTGGGGGAGCCGTGGGCCCCGTGGCCCTGGGCTGACCTGGGGGAGCCTGGCCCCGTGCCCTGGGCTGACCTGGGGGAGCCGTGGGCCCCGTGGCCCTGGGCTGACCTGGGGGAGCCTGGCCCCGTGGCCCTGGGCTGACCTGGGGGAGCCGTGGGCCCTGTGGCCCTGGGCTGACATGGGTGGTTCCGAAAGACAGAGGCACAGGTGCTTGGTGGCCACTGGCTGAGGTCAGAGGACGCTGTGGCCCCTGGACATCACCACCCCGGCTGCCTCCCCACACTGCCCCTGAGGGTCCCAGTCCCAGGGACAGGCGGGGCCTCCCTTCCTGGGGGCGTTTGCGGGAGGACAGCCACCCCAGCCTGGGCCCCGCCATGGGGAAGGCAGCTGGGGTGCGCCTGCCTGGTGCTGTGGCCCACGATTCGTCCCTGAGCCAGCAGTGTCCGTTTTCTCCATGTCCCCTCCCAGGCAGCCCCTGAGGGCCCCCCCGCGGCTCCCTGCGGCGTCTCTGCCTGCTGGTCTGGCCTGGGGCCTGGCGGAGGAGGGGCGAGGGCGTGGCGCTCCAGAGCAGGCCCCATCCCAGTCCTCCCCTCCCCCTTCACCCCCTTCAACCTGACCGGCTGGCCAATCCGCCAGTGGTGCTGAGCGCACCCTGCCCCAGAAGCTCAGAACCCAGGGGTATGCTCTGGCCACGCCCACCCGGCCGCCCCGCCCCCAACTAGCCAGAGACCCTGACCACACCCGGAAGGCAGGGTGAGGCAGGGTGGGTCCCTGGGCGTTCAAGGCCCGAAGTCACGGGCGGAGAGAGGGGCGCCCCCCACCCAGGCCCCCGGAACCTGTGGTGACGCGGGAGGAGCCTGGGTGACGCAGGCCAGGCCCTGCCCCCGCCCCTGCCCCTCTGCTGCGCCTGGGCTCCGTGTCCAGCCCGGGACCGGAGGGCTTTGCTGAGACTTTGGGGTCACAGTGGACCCAGCGGACCCCTGGAACCCGGCTGCACTGCCCCTCCTGCTGTCTCCCGCTGGCTGCCGGTCTCTGGCCTGCTCCCGGGGTCCCCACAGCAAAGTGCTTACCCACGGGGAAACCTGCTCGCGAGAAGAGGAAGCGGGGGCCACGCACACGTTGTGCCGCTTCTGATCGTGTTTCTGGGGTGCTTCCCCCACGGAGCCGCCTGCAGGCAGGACGCTGAGTCCCCGCCGGGCAGAGGGAGGGAGGTGTCGTCAGCCCCATTGTACAAGTGGGGAGACTGAGGCAGCGGGATGACCTGGCCTAGCTGAGGCCCATCTGGCTGAGTTTCCGGGGAGCTGCCGTCGGTGGGTAGCGCGGTGCCCCGTCTCTGCCGCAGCCAAGGTGGGCACTGGGGGCCGCGGGGCGGGCATCTCACTGCAAAGCGGTCCCACACGGGCCCTCGCCTTGCAGCCTGTCCACGCCTGGGCACCCAGCACATCCAGTCTCCGGGGTTCCCAATGGCAGACACGTGGGCTGTGCCATCTGGAGCTGGGTCAGCCCAGCACAGAACCAAGGCCAGGCCCCCCTCCTGGGGGCCCCGGGCCGTGCCCCACACCTGAACTCTGGCACACCCAGCAGCCGTCCGCACCCTGCCTGTAGCCCGCTGTGGCGGCGCACTGGCGGTCGGGGAGGGAGCCAGGCCCAGCCGCGAGTGGAGCAGCAAGCACCCCCCTTCCTCACGGGGGGTCTGGGGGCCCAGGACCTGGGGCGAGATACCAGCGGGGTCCTCCAGGGGCGGCTCTGGCACCTCCGGCACTGCAGTCCTGCGCTCGGCACCGTGGGCTCAGCCGGACCCCTCCACCAGCCTCTGCAGGGTGTGTGGGAGGCCCCCGGGGCCCGGCTCTGACCCTGGCGGGGGCCCGGGCCGCAGGAAGTCCTTGGCGGGCAAGCGCAGCTCCTCCGAATCCGGGGAGCTGCTGAGCTTCGTGGCGTCCACCTTTGCCGACCACTTCTTCCAGCCCCGGCGGATTCTGGACACTTCCTGCCGAGAGTGCTCCGTGGCCAGCACGTAGATGATGGGGTCGGCCACGCTGTTCACCGTGCACAGGCACAGGAACACCACGGAGGCCGTGTACAGGCTGGCCTCGAAGGCGCACACGGCCGCCTCGTCCCCGCGGTAGTAGGAGAAGGCGGCGGCCTTGAGCAGCAGCACCAGGTGGTAGGGCGCGAAGCAGACCAGGAAGATGAGCACCACGGCCACGGCCGAGTGCCGCACCTTGGCCTTCTGGGCGGCGCTGAGGCCCGCGCTCAGCCGGACGCTCCTCAGGATGCGGTGGTTGGTGAACACGATGACCACGAGGGGCCCGGCGAAGCCCGCGGCGAAGCGCGCGTAGTGGAAGGCGGCGATGCGGCTGCTCATGCACAGCTGCTCAAAGCAGGTGCCGGCCTCCTCCTCCTCCATCTGGAACACGGGGTAGTGCAGGAGCCCGACCAGCAGGAAGACGCACAGGGACACGAGCACGGCCGTCCTCTGGTGCCGGCGGCCGCGGCTCTCCAGCGCGTACACCACGGCCACGAAGCGCTCGCAGGAGATGCAGCACAGGAAGAGGATGCTGACGTAGATGTTGCAGAAGAAGATGTAGGCGGTCACCCTGCAGGCCGGCAGGCCCAGCGTCCAGCGGTGCTGGTTCTGGATGTAGACCACCCAGAGTGGCAGCGTGCTGGCGTAGAGCAGCTCGCAGAGCGCCAGGCACAGCAGGTACACGGCCAGCACGTTGCCTTGCAGCGCCTGCAGCAGGGTGAGCCACGCGGTCACGCAGTTGGCCGGCAGCCCCAGCGCGCACACCACGCTGTACACCGCCACCAGGGTCACTCTGCTCTCCTCGAAGGACACGTTGCAGATCTCGGCCGAGTGGCCCGAGGCGATCTGAGGGACGGAGGTGGCCACCGGGGTGGCGTTTCCTGTGGGATGAGACCGGAGTGAGGCCGGGAGGCCGGGGGAACCGCGTGGAAGGTTCCTGGCGCCAAGGAAGGGTCGGAGGGCACAGGAACTCCAGACCGGACACGCCCGGTGTTGGCTTCCCGAGGGGGTTTCTGAGAGACGCC